ATATATATATATATATATATATATATATATATATATATATATATATAAAACTACAACTTAGTACTTGTACTAATATTCATACTTTGCGGTTTTTCACTTATAGCGGGGCTTCGGGGTACGGATCCCTCGCAATAAATGAGGGACTACTGTGCTGCCACAGAACATTGTGTCACTGTCCTCAACATTTTCACTCCTTTCATTGTTAACTCACTTCCCAAACTCTTGGTAAACGCTAAATGTTTCATGCTGCAGTGTAGAGCAAAGATATGTCATTTCTTTAAAGTCTCATAGATTTTATACTCAGGATTGTGTCCGATTATTGTCTTGTAATTGCATCGCAGCCCTTTGAATGTTTATTGTCTGGTCCGAGCTGAAATGCAAGTTCAAGTAGGTTTGATTGTCATTCGCATCACATGTGGTACATGAGGTGGAACGAAATCATGTGCACAGGGTCCCTGTTACATCCAACAATAGCAAAAGTGTAAGAAGAAACGGTAAATTAGGATCTAACATATAAACTAAGATATACGCCAAACAGCAGCAGCACGAACATGAGTCTGCGTGAGTAGATGAGTACAAGTGAATACAGCAGCATGAAATAATCAGCAGCATGAGATCAGCAGCGTGGATAATCAGCAGCACATATCACCAATCAAAGTGGCATTACAGTGATTTTCTTTTTCCACAGTGATAATCCTGATTAGGGATTTATGAGTCTAATTAGCTGCATTAGCTGCAGCTTTGCAGACGTATCTGTAAGCTAATAATCAGACAAAAAGCACCAGGTGTGTAAAACCTGTTCCGCAAAATGTAAAACTTTCCAGCTAAAGTCAAGAACCGCTGCTGCCATTTTCACCCAGACACGTCTTCACCTTCAAGAAAACAGCAACTCCTTAACGTCTCTTATATGATACGCGTTTACCCTTTGACTCCTACAAAGCTGTCTTGGCTTATGCAACTAATAAATCCAAAGTTAAAGCTAATAAGTAACACAGATGAGTAAAGTATAACCAACTAGGTTCAACTCAGACTACAATAAACGTCAAGACGGTCCAGAAGCTGAATTTGCATTTGAAAAACAACATCCTCTTTGTGCTTTGTAAAAGCATAAATCTGACCTCTGACCTTTCCAAGTCCTCGCAGCTATTGTCTATTTTTGTTTACGATAACAGAAAGTAACTGTGACCTCCAGGTCAGTGAGTGAGCTTCTCTAACCGAAGACAACAGATGAAGAGGATCAGAAGAAAAGAATCAGGCTTCTGATCAGTTTGTTGATCTAAGGTCTGAAATTAAACCCGTGTTAAAATACATTTTTGATGCTGTACAGCTTATTGGTGCAAAGACAAGTCATCCTTAAAAAAGGGGGGCATTTTTACGAACGTCCAAAAAGAAGAGCAATGCCGAAACAGAGATGAAGACTGATCAGATGGTAAAGAGCAGCATTCATCAAAGCACACACAGAGAGATGAGGGAACGCTCGAAGAATCCCTCAAACGTTCAGTCGGCTCCTGACTGCAGGTTTCCCGTGAATCGCTCACCCTGTCTTTGTCGTCGGCCACGTCGCAGAGCACATCGTCCAAGTCCAGGATTCCACCGTCGCTGTGCTCCAACCGGTGCACCTGCAGCCAATAACTGGCATCCTGCAAAACACAGGGAGGAGAAAAAACGTTTCCTGAAGTCAAAAACAGGGTATAATTAAACGTAGAACTGAAACACTCTGCACCGTAAAGAAATAAAGTAATGTTACTACGGGGAATGGATAAGAGAATAGAATATGTCCTCAAAAAAACATTTTTAAAATCTTTAAACGGGTGTTTGAACACGACATTCGGCTCAATCCTTCACTGCTGAACAACCGTTAAAGCATTTTCAATCATCACATCCTGAGGGGAATCCAACCCACAGCTCCTCTGCAACGAACACCAATTTTCATGTCAGATGCACACAAGAAGGTGGCAGATTAAAAAAAGGAGCTGAGCACAGGATTAAGGAGGGATTAGGACAAGAAAACATAAAAATTGTGAAAAAATATTAGAACAAAAAGAGCTTGCAACTTTAAAATGTATTGTACGGCATCAAGTACGGTATTTACAAATGCAGAAAACATTTTCTACGGCTCTGATAAGCAAAGATCAACTCACGGCTCAATGTAGAAGCAAAAAAAGCTACAACCAGGCAAATTAAAGTGTTTATTCGTGTTATTTATATTTGTGTGGAAACCTGAACGTGCAGATGTGTGAACAACTTTTGACTTTCAGCTGTTTATTAAAATCCTGAGTTAGAGCTTCATCAATGATCCCACCACTCCTACAATCCCTGAGGATTGTTTGGATCCAGCTCTGGAACGATCGTTTTATGACTCTCATCCCAGCTCCCTGAATCTTAATTAAATCATGAGGTGCCCAAAGGTTCCCAGCCACAGTAATAAGCGGAATATCATTTCCCAAAAAGCCCTTTCAGTCCATTTGTCCTTGTTATTGTTTCTAAAGGTGATAATACTGATATTTGAGCCTGTGTTGACTACAATAAGTTCCTGTAGTATCCAGGATCACAAGCCACAAAAAAAGAAGGTGTAAATTAGAGAGCGAGGTCCTTCTGAGGGGACGAGTTCAACACAAAAAACATAACTGCCAGGCCAGCACATTTCTCATAAACTGACAAGTGAATAAACCTCAGCAGAGAACCATCTTCACCTGAAGTTAACACATAGGCCAAATTTTGCTGGGCGATTAAATGTCTCAGAAATTATTGCAATAAACAATAATATTGTTTGAAATTTAACAATAACTGTCAAATTTTAGAAGAAATGTTGATTTGTTTTGGAGTGTAGTACCTGTTTTGACCACCTGATGGCAGTATAAGACTGTTTGAACCAAAGGATGGGTGTCTCTTTAAGAAAAATGGGAGGGAGGGCCCTTGACGTGACATGGGCTGACATGGAGACATGGCGGACGCTTGGTGGTTTGAGCTCTTTAGCATAGCATTTATCACATAAAGCTTTTAATTTAAAAAAAAAAAATCTGTAAACAAGTTCTCAGCTTCCAAAAAAGTTCAATCTGGTCCTCTGGACATTCAAAAAAACAAAAAACAAAACAAAGCAAAAAAATCTAGAAACGTTTCGTCTCTCATCCAAGAGACTTCCTCAGTCTGAGGTGCTGTTTTCAGCTCAGTCTCTTAAATAGCACCTTCACAGAGTGGATCAACCAGTTTGCTGCTGACAACCAAAACCAACTGATCACATGCTCAAGAAGGACCATCAGCCTAACAATGGATCATTACTTTTGTTTTTTGTTTTTTTGAATGTCCAGAGGACCAGATTGAACTTTTTTGGATTTTTCTACCTGGATTATTGAGCATGCATCAGGATAAGTTCTCAGCTTCTTTTTGCAGAGAAAAACAACTTTTTACACCAAGGCACGGGTTTCAACCGTGAATTTTGGATCTTTGACAAGACGGAGGTTTATTCCCGAGGTTGGACTGTTAGCTTAGCTCGTAGCTTAGCTGCTCAGCTTGGCTGCTTTTAACGATCCAAAAACGTGATTTTGGACGGTTAAAACAGATTTTAAAGAAAAGAGAAAGGGAGGGGTCAGTGAAGAGCACCGGAGTTGAGCCTTTTGTCGTCCAGTGTCTTCAATAGAAAGAGAGAGACACGAAGAAACGATAAAGCTGATAAATGAAAATGAGGTTGATACTTTTCATTCATCATGCGATTAATCAATTTATTGTTTATTGCATCAGGCCTATTAACACACCATATCTTACTTTAAAAAAAAGGGGAAAATCCAAAAGTTTCAACTCCACACCCAGATTCTCACTGCCTGCTGCCTCGGGACCTAAACGAGATTCCCATGACACTAATCTGAAGAGCTCCTCGTCTAAAGGACTGTGGAACGATGAAGGACAGATCTGGAGCTGAATCTCAGCAACCATCGCCTATTTTAGCCTCATCAGACCAGCAGGCTTGGAAGGAGGCCAAGGCCATGGCGGGGGAAGCCCAGCATCAGATTTTACAGACAAGCTGGCCTGGGGTGCTCGCCGCCCCATGACAGGAAGAGGAAAACACCCACAATTAAAAGTGTGTCATCAACTACACAACAATACGGTTAATAAAGGCGTATGACCAAAACAACATGTTTACTGTAAAATAGAAGTATCAAAAATTATATTTTTTGGCAAATAAAACACTGCAATATCAAAATAAAGAATATTAATTTAGTAAGAAAAAGTGTTTAGACTATATACAACATTTTTCAGTCAGGTCATTTGGACAGTTTCTTTTTTTTTTTTTTTTTTTTTTTGTGCTGAAACGTTTCGCCTTCGATCCGGAAGGCTTCATCAGTCAAGGAAACACACAACAAAACTGATTCTCCCCCAACAGCTTACTCCAAAGTGGAACAAACCAGTTCTGCTTGTGATAAGATGGTCAAAGATGACCTGACTGAAAAATGTCGGATTGTATACTTGGATTATTGAGCATGGACTTTGTTGTTTGGACTATAGACTAAGTACATGTATCCACAATCTGAAACTAAATAATATTTCTGGCCAATTAGATGGACTCTCATGAGGCTAACGCTTGTTTTAGATTATTGTAGCCAAGATGCTAAAGCACATTATTAAAGAATATTGTTAATATTGTGAAAATGGAGCAGAAAGTATGGAAGATATTGGTTTAAACCAGCCGACATCGACATTGCTATTTCCTACCATATTATAATTATTTTTAGTTGAACAGCTATAAATGTTACGAATACGAATGTTCTAGAATTGCGCCGCTCAAGGTGGCTGCATGTTGGAGCAGCTCATTCTGAGTTATTGCTTTTGGAAACTTTAATTCCTCTTTTTTCTGGATGTAAATCACTTTTTTCGGATGATTATTTCCTCTGGTATCAGATGTTGTGCAGCTGGAAGGATTTTAACTGAAACCTTTTTACTTTTGGGCATTTGTTGTGATGCGTAACCATGGCAACAAGGTGTTTTTTTTGTTGTTTTTTTTAAACAACCAGGAGCAGCTGATTAACATCTCAAAAGCTGAAATACCTCAACTACAGCATCAAATCCCAAATGAGTTGAAAAGGAGGCTCCGTGGACAAATTCCTGTCAACGTGGCGGCGGTGCTCGAGTGTCTGATCGCCGAGATTCTGGAGCTGGTGGCAAACTCGGCTCGTGACAACAGGAGGACTGGGATCATCCCCCGGCACCTTCAGCTGTCTGTCCATGGTGAAGAGGAGCTCGGCAGACTGCTGGGAAGAGCTATAAGCATCTAACCACTCTTGGATGAAATCAGGATGATGAGCTACAACAACACTTAATTTCCTTCTGGGATTAATAAAGTATTTTTGAATTTGAATTTAATAAAAAAAAAGGTCAAATGCCATTAAAATGGCCGCGCTCTCCTGTAGTTGCAGCTTCGTGCACTCCGCCCATCTTTCGGACGACTGTACGTACATATTCTCGTTGTACCTTGGTGCAATTCCAATAAAGTTTATTCTGATTCTGATTAATAGTTGAAACTGATTTATTTGGACCAAAAAAAAAAAGGCCTTGGCAGGAAAATTCTAATAAAAATACTTGTTTTGACCAATTCTGCTTCAGAAAACTGACGCAACAGAAGCGCCAGAGCATCAGGAGCTGAAGCAGGGTAATAGAGATGAGCAAGGGTTAAACTTTGCAATGAACTTTGTAATGAAAATTCAAATAGTTTGTATAATTTAGGACAAAAAGAGTTAAAAAAAAATAAATCAGTTAAGCTGTGACAGCACAGCAGCAAAGGACAAATGAACGTCTGATTTACTTGTGAACATTGTGCTGCATGGCGTGGCAAACATCTGCATTTAACAGAATTTCCAGACAGCTACAGTTATTTAAAAAAAAAAAAATGTGTTTAAGAATCATCTGTTGGTGCTCAAAAGTTCTGCTCAAAACAGAGCATCTGTAACTTAATCCAGAAATAGTTCCTTCAGTAAAGAGCTTCATCGTGTAAGCTGCAGTTTTTATGTTTGAAAGTCTGTTTTTAAAAAAAAAATCAACCACATTCTGAGCTATTAAATTACAAAGACAAACAGATTAACGTTCATGCTCAATAATCCAGGTAAACAACTCAACAAAGTTCAGTCAGGTCATCTGGAAAGTTTCTTTTTTGTTGTTGTTGTTGAAACGTTTCATCCTTCATCCAAAGGACTTCATCAGTCCGAGGAGCCACAACGAACTGAGTCCCACAAGCAGCACACTCACATAGTGTAAAATAAGCAGTTTGCTGGTGATAAGATGATTTCTGGAGCCCACCTTCTCCCCTGTCGACTCCTCTGAGGCAGCCATAGCCAAAGTGGTTCAAAACATCAAAGTTCATGCGCAATAATTCAGGTAAAAAAAACCACTTTATTTACCTAAATTAAATAGAATGCATAATTATAATCGAAAAAGCAGTTTTTGCTAATCTAAACTTCCAATACTAATCTGTGAAGGAGGCTACACAAAGTATGAGAGCAATCCAAAAGTACTTTCAGTAAACCTGCTCTGAATCGGAATAAAAACAGTGGAACACGCATCAACGCTCCACAACAACTTTTAAATCAAAGCAGCGCTCCGTTGCTCAGCAAACACCAGCAACACTTTGTTGTGACGACGACGGTTCTGATCA